GGACTACATGACCTCTGGAGGTCCCTTCAAAACTGAATTATGACTCTGTGGCTCTACTGCCTTTGACAATAGAAGGCATACATTTTAACCAAACACAAGGAGCTCAGAATTAGTTTTCTAAGTGCTCTAGAGGCATAGGTCAGATGGAAAATTATCTAAGACTGGATCAGAGGATAAATGTGGTGAAGTGCTATGTGTGTCTGACATAGCAGCCCTTTTAACAAATTCGTTTTACAGTACAGATTTTTTACTTCTCACATTACAGATTTCTTTTCTCTAGATACATTCCCTGTTATTCAACAACTCACTATATACTTTCCTGTCCCTAGCATCCCTAAATGTGTAAGAGATTCTTCTAATGTACAGATGACCTACCTGCATCTTCCTGTCCAATACTGGGTGATGGTCATGGAATGAATCATCTGCCTGCTGCTGATTAATCAAGTAGGAAATCGAGTTTTGTATATGACTGTCTTGGACATGAATGTATTCTTTGCACCTTGTGAGCACTTTAACAATGAATGCAGTTAACCTGCAGAAAATAAAATGTTCCAAACTCATGCTGACATATGTTTATAGAAGAGTATGTTGACAGGAAAAGAAACATCTTAATTTTGTACAGAGTGACCTCACTGGAACCTAGTGAGCTATCATTTGACATCAGCAGAAATATTTTTATGCTGTGGCAAATGCAAAATAATAGAGGCTTAGTTTGAATCTCCTTCATCAAAGACTATATTTGCTGAGAGATCTACATAGTTGACTATCAATTAAAAAAATACACAAGCAACATCATGTCAACCAGACTTTAAAAATCCATCTGCCTGGAAAAAATTCTGATGCATCAAATGGAAATAGAGGAAAAAAAGCAACTGAAAAAGGCACTTACCATACACTACTAGGGGTTGTTTTAAATGCTCCATAGGAGCCATCCACCTTCTGAAACTCAAGCAGTCTAGTATAACCTGCATGAACAGAACAACACATACTGGTTCACAGAATACACAAACTTCTTGGGCATTTTCATACATCACTTGTCTTAACAAGGGTATGCTCAGTATTGAGTAGTGGGAGAGTACGTGGAGGAAATACCTGTGTCAGCAGGCTTTTGACACAAAAATACTAAGCTTAGAAGGTGCTCTGTCTTGTTTGGCTTAACTGAGCCATGGGAATAACTTGAAAACTGTAGGCATCTGTAGTTACAAAGCATTTTCTGTGTAGTGAATCTTGGCAAATATTCCCTGTGACTGATAACTGTTCAAGGTGTTGACTGTGGTGCATGGAATCAAAAAATAAACAAAACATCATCTCCTGGGTCAGACATAGGCTTAGGAGTCATGAGTTGTGGCCTCTGATCTTGACTGCTATTACCTTGGCAAAGCCTGTATCATAGCCACACTCTCTTTTTCTATCCTGGTGAACTTAATCAACTTGTATTGATAACAATCAATACAATCATAACATAGGCAGTAAATGCTGCTGGTAATACCAAATTCTCATCAGCAGGATTTCATGTCACTTTAGGCAATCTTAGACAAATAGGCAAAGACCTTCATCCAGCAACAGTTAGCATGTTGTTAGTCTCTATTTATACCCTTATTTTCCACTGATGAAATGTGTATCACATTGTCTGAAGACCATGAAGACTGGTGTGTTGTTTTGCTTTATGCCATGTGCACACTACTGCAGCTAGAAAGCTTGGCTGTACATGCCACAATACTGATAACTCTTGGTCTCTATGGCAGTGCTTGTGAGCTGAAACACTTCCACATGCTGTGGTTCTGGCCTTGCTAAACATTTAGTACCAGCTTTGGATCACGTCTTGGAATGGGCTTTTCAAGCAGCAGCCTTGCTTCTGTCCTCTTCCTGAAGAAACTCCCTCCCTGAGTTGGTCTAAGGTTGTCGGGGTCATTCTGCTCATGTAATCCATGCAGGGATGTGGATAGAAAGTGCTATTATCATGATTACCATTAGGAGTTTCCTCAGTGAACTCCTCTATCAACTACAGACATCTCCAACAGAGATGTCTGCATCCCAGCTGGCCATCCTAAGCACTGTCTCTGATCTGTAAGGTGAAATAAGCATTCATCTTGATCTATTTTGCACATCTGCTTTAGGAAGAAATGAACATCTGGCCCTTGCTGCCCATTTACTCTAACAGGAGTTGATATCAATCAGCTCAGACTTTACTTTCTGCTTCTAAGGAAGGCAAAAGAGAGGGTGGACTGTGAACATCAGGATTGTACAATGTCAGACTCAATTAGTCACCCACATCCTCCTCGCCGTTCTCACACCTTTGGCAAGTGGCAATGGTTAGTGTGCAAAGGAAAAGGACAGCAAAGACCTTGTTGGCTGATCTCTGGTTTTTTTCTCCTGCATACCTTTCTCAATCATGCCAAAGGCTTCCTCCTTGCGTTCAGGATTAAAGTTGGTCCATTGCTCACTGGCTTCCAAGTACTCAATAGCATAGACTGCAGGGGCCATCTTCACCATAGTTTGCTCTGCACAGCCTGTGGGCACTTGGATAAGTTTCTCAACTCCAGTGAGACTAAGACAATTTTCCACAGATTCGTCCATAATATTCCCTGTTGTAAAAAACACAAGCCACAGGACATACTGTATTCAAAGCTGGCTGCTTTAAAATGAAGAAAGATGGTGCTAACCATAGGGTGATGCAACAGCATGGCCTGATACTTCTCATTATTAAACACTGTTTTAGGTACTTAAGACTTTGTAAAGCTAGAGAAGAACAAGGATGAGGTGCCAGGCCATGGAAAAGCTGGAGAAAGGAGGCTGGGACAGTGAAGGAGCATGGAGGAGAAAGGCCTAAGGCTACTGGAGGCAGGGAAGCAAGGAAAGGGTGTAAGACTGGTGCCTCAGGTTCAGGCTGGAGAAGCATTGTCAAACCAGACCTGATCCTCCCACAGAAGGCAATAAGATGGTTCCTTAATTCTGTCAAATATTTTGTGGAGACTTTTTTTTTCCCTTTCTGCAATTTTCTCATTTGATGAATTCAGGCATCTCCATACCTTAGAACAGGAATTTGAAATGGAAGCCAAGAGCTTTTGTGTCAAGAGTGCATTATTTTACATTTTCTGGCAGAACCTGTGGTTATCATTAGGAAGAGTGCTTGCTAGTAGATGGTTTTAAAGTACCTATACAGGAGTAAATATACACACACACATAATTATTTGACTAAATGGATATATTATTGTAGATATCAAAAGACAGAAATTTCCAGAACTTATACATCCTTATTTCTGAAGACTAAAGAAGATTTCTATGAACCTACATGCAGTGTGGGTTTATTAGATAAAATGAATTCTTTCCTTCTTTCATCTTCCCATAAAGTTAGCTAGTGAGGCAGGATAGACCACAATAAAGCCATTACATGCAATATAAGAATAATAAGAATATAATATAAGAAGGAGTAATGAGAAAGTGGAAAAGTACTGGATGAAGGTTGGACTTGATGATCCTAGAGGTCCTTTCCAACCATGGTGATTCTATGATTCTATTATCAATCTTGGGGCTGTTTTGTTTCATGACTTGGGCATGTAGCACAGACCATTAGAGTCATAGCAGAAAAACTGGGAGGGAATGGAAACTCAGCATCCAGGAGTGAGCACCAGAAAGGGGCATGTGTCTTGTCACCTCTAGAGAAGTTATTGACCAAAAATGATGTTTACCTTTCAGGCTAACAAACACATGACTGTCAGAACCTGGTACCATATCAGCTGGTCTCTTCAGGTCCAGTATATGGGACTGCACTGTAAATTAATAGTAAATAGAGATCTATATCCAGATTCTTTAAACATAAAATCGTGTCATTTTAGAACATGGTTTTCATTAAACTTCTCACAGTTAATGGCAGTGATGACAGAAACCTTCCCAGAGACATTACATGGATATTTATGAGAAGAAATATACTTATCTTTCTTAAAATGATTTAATTTTCAATCATTAGCAATATTTTTTTGGCTTGAAATGAGGCTTGTTTTTAACACCTTTCAAGACCCATTTGTAAATGAAAAAGATGATGACTTAATACTTAGAGAACTCTACCTTGAAACACAGAAGTAATACTAATTAATTCTAAACATTCCAAATTAATTAATTGATTTTATCTCCAGAGTCTTGCTATGTATCAGATGAAAAGATTTCTAACATGTCCTGGTGAACCAAAGCAACATTGGACGTTAAGAACTATTTCACTGCACCCATCAGACATTCACAGCAGGTTTTACACCCCCTGTCCCTACCCCAGACCTCATCTGCATCTAATTCTTATGTGTAACTTACAGCCACTGTTAATGCAAATGGTCTGTTCTTCTCTCTGTAAAACACCTTCAGCCTGCACAAGTGAGGAAAGAAAAGTCAGAACCTTTGCAAGCATTCAGACCTGAAATTAAGCTGCATGAAAGCTCCAATCTCCACCCTTGCCCTACACCAGCAGGTGGCAGAAATAAGTTATTTTGGGGTGAGATTTCTCACCAAGTAAATCTGAGGCTTCAAATCCGAATTTGAGTGTTACAACTGAAATGCTAATAAATTCTACTGACTTTTTTTTAAAAAAATTATTATTATTGACATATTTCCCTGCATGAAATGCCTTTAACCAAAACTAAACCAGAAAAAATTAAGCTTCAAGGGTTTATTCTCAGTTTTGTGAGCTGAGCAAGTCAAGTTTATGGGTGGATTCACTTCTATAAACCCCTCATCTATGAAATCCACCAGGTTTTTAGTTTATCTGATTGACAAATCTTTAACTTTTTCTTTTTCCCCTTCTGATTTCCACACATCCCTCTTCCTACAGTTTCTGTTTTAATAAAGCTATTTTTACAGACATTTTTAGTGTTTTGGTGTAGCATTGATCTCTGAGACTGTCTACCTCTAGAAAAGTTACAGCCTGTACCAGCAGGAGGTTCCTGGCATCCCACACCTTATCTTTACCTACATGGGTCACCCCTCACAGGAATTGTGCAAGGATTCATATTTTGCACTTTTTGTGTGGATTGAAGGTGGCCCTCAGTGGGATACTTGGGTGCTGTAATGGGTCTGTGCTTGTCAGTGTTGACTGCTGAAAAGTCATCTTTTCTAGAAGGCATTTATAGTCATCCTTCTGAAAGAGCACTAAGGTATTAAACAATCAGCACAACATCTTTATCTGCCCTGTATGTGTTTCACCCTTGCAGTTGTTAAGAGTGAAGGTCCATTACCTAGAAGGAGTAAAATAGGGTTTGACTTTATGACTGGCAAAGAGTATTCCCTCACAAAATACTCCTAGGTGGACATCTCAACCTTGACTTTATCAGAGAAGAAGAATTTTTCTAAATGTTGTGAAGCAGGTGAAAGTTAAAGATCACGAGATGGGCACTGCCTGTGTGAAGGAAGTTGTCGCTCTGTTGTGGGCAGCAGGGTGCCTTTTGGCTGTAAAGAACAATCCTTTCCATACACACCAGCCAGAAGTTCACCAGGGTGTTCAGTTTCTCCCCCAGACTACAGCACAACCCTTGCTGAGAAGCAGGACTCCTGAGGTCGCTCACAGCATTGTGTTTGTGTGACCTCACTCCCCCCACAAAAGCTCCCGTGCCCTGAGGCGGCGATACCCACCACAACACGGAGGTTCTTCCTTATGCTGTCACTGTGCCCCAAAACCGTGTCGAAAGCAGTGATGCTGATGGGGATCTCCCCCACGGTCAGAGGGACAACTGAGAAATAGGCTGGCGTGGCCGAGTTCCCTTTGACCTCCAGCCTCAGCTGCACGTCCTTCTCCGTGGCCTCCGCGGTGCACAGCCCCTTCACCGCCTCCATCGTCACCAGCACCTGCAGGGGCCAGGCAAGGACTGTCACCAGGCTCAGCGTGTGAAACGCTGGGGTCTGAACCCCAAGCCCCCAAATTAAGGTTGACATATGAGTGATTCCCACAGCCCTTCATAAAGAGGTGGTGAGTTTGCCTTAGAGCTTCCCCCCAGGGTGCGGACTCTTATCTCCAGTGACAAGTGGTAGGACAAGAGGAAATGGCTTCAAGTTGTGCCACAGGAGGTTTAGTTTGGATATTAGGAAAAATTTCTCCCCAAAAGGGTTGTAAAGCAGTGGACCAGGCTGCCCAGGGACATGATGGAGTCCTCATCCCTGGAGGTATTTAGAAGTTGTATAGATGTGGTGCTGAGGGACATGGTTTAGTGGTGACCTGGCAGTGCTGGGTTAATGGTTGGACTTGATGATCTTACAGGTCTCTTCCAACCAGAATGATTTTATGATGATTCTAGGAGACTAGCTTTTGCTTAAGAAGGAGATGATAGCATTTTTGTACTTTGCTTCCCTAATTTACTATGCTCCATTTATAAAATGTTTGGTCTTTTTCATCAGAAAGTGATCAAAAGCTGGCACAGCTTGTCCAAACAGTTTTTGGAGTCTCCCTCCCTGGAGATATTAATTCTCTGAATTGACTGTTCTTGCCTGGACAAGGCCCTGGACTGTCTGCTCCAACTGGACCTGTACTGAGCAGCAGATTGGACTAGAGACGTTTGGAGGTCCCTTCCAACCTAAATGATTCTATCACTCTGTGGTCTGTTAACAGTCATCTACATTGACTAGGGTTGTGAAGATAAATCAGCTGGTATTTCCTCATTACACTGAATTTGCAATAGAGTTTTGGCCTATTCCCAAAGCATAGGGAAGTGAGAAGGATAACAAATCTGGTTTGTTAAGTAAGTTTGATTAGCAAGCAGAGCTGGATCCCAGCCTTGAGGAGACTTTCAAAATGGGAGCATGATATCTGGGCTGTAGGAGGGCACTGAAAAATGGCCAGGCCATTTACATTAAATTATTACATGATTATACATTTAACTGATGTATAGAAATATGATATTTAATATATGACATATATATGATATATTTGACATATATATGACATATAATGTGACACACAATATGAAATATAAAATATGATATGTTTTAGATGTGCACAGCACAGCAATTGGTGGTAACACTACCTGGAGGTCGCTGGGCAGATAGTTGTAAACCACTGCTTTTATTTCTAGTTGTTCATGTCTTCTGACTGAGTATGGTAATCTCAGGGATACAAAAAAGTCTTTGAAAACTGCAAAAGTGTGGGGGTCAGCTATACAAAATCCTGGGAGGAGGAAAAAAACAGAGTTGGGAATTACACACTGAAGATCAGCTGATAAAAAGTTAAATGTCTAATCAAAACTCATTGCCTGGGCTCATCCGAGGTCAAGAGCTGGAGGGAGAGACAGGAATACCCAGGAAGCATTTTGACTCCCCTGCACTGGCGACCTACCTCAGGGGTAGATGATTTGCCCTCTGGATTCACTACCATGGTTTTCAATAGGTGAAATTTGGCAGGACTGTTTGTAGCTTTTGTGAGTGAAATGTGGCCCAGGTTTCCAGCAACAAGCATGTTGAAAACACAGTGACCTTTCCTTGCTTTCTGTAAATAACATCCATGCCCATCCCTGCACCCCTGGGTGAGCCTCTTTTTCTGAAGGAGTGGGCAGTACCAGGTGGACCCTTTGTCCCTGGTCAAAGGGTCAGCTCCTTTTGCTCCTGGTCAGCTCTCAGGAGCACCTACAGAGCAGCAACTGGGAACCTGGGCTCTCTGGTGTCCAGCCCTTACTGATCCTCTGCCACTCCTCTGGTGCTCTTCTCTGGCCTCAGACTTTCATGCTTCTCTGAGATAGCTGGAACTGGCTCTCAGAAATACTCAGATAAAAGCAGTGTTATTACAGCTACCTTTCTTGTGGATTAATGGACATGTGGAAGCTAAAATGAGATGGTTTATAGATTGGAAAGAATAAGAGACAGCTTTGATTGTCTGATCCATACTCCTTAGAAGCCCACTTCATGTTATTTCTGTAAACATATATGTATCCCTTAAATTCTAGCTGGGCTTTAATAGCTTACAGAACAAGAGTAAATGTCACAATAAAAACACTTTTTGTTTTTCAGGACAGGCTGTCTCATTCTGCCAACATAATGTTTTATCTCTGTTTAAAAAAACCCAAAATAATTCTCTATTCCTCTGTGCAAAGAAACCAAATAAAATAGTCAATGCTCATACCTTTTTGAGGAGATATGCTTATTGCCTGAACTTCCCAGGTAGTTATAGAGTCAGGAGCCACGTTTCTTACACTAAGAAACACAAAATAAAATATATTAGGAAGGATGTATAAACATTGTCATTTGCTGAAGTTTGAGTATTTGTACAGGAAAAAATTATTCCCTTACTTATGGAGACAAAGAACTTGCAAACGCTCTGAAGTCCTCTGTATCAGATAACATATCAAGTCAATATTTTTGTATATTTTACTGTACACATTTAGATATATTCACCTAGACAAATAATACAGTACCTATGGTTTCCAGGATTTTTCACTTCTTCAAAATTCCACCACCAGCTCTCAGGAAAATAACTGCGCAAGTTGACAGAAATTTCATCAAACAGACCTATTTCTTCATGGTTTTCATAGTCTGCAAAACAAGAGCGGGGGTTCTGTTCTGAAGTCTTTAGCTGATGACTTTATGCTGTCTTGCAGTGAGTCAGATTATCAGAGAGAAAGCAGAATGAAAAATACTCAGAATGAAAAGATTTCACCTGGGTTTCATTGTCTGCATTAAAAAAAAACAAAGGTGAAAAAAGAGAAGCAACGGTCAAAGATTGTCATTGAACAAAAGGATAATTCCTCTTTCCAAGTTCAATAACTATATATGCTATCAAGCAAGAAAAACATTCCTTTTACTCATGTGTAGCAAAGACATTCCCACTATCTCATATTTGTGACAAAGCATGAAAGGGAAGCTCTGAGAAAAATTGTAGCAGAAATTACACTCAGAAAACAGAAGAGACAAAATTTCCCCTGGCCAAAGTTGTCCCTTCTCATGGAATAGTGTTTTGGAGGTTCTCAGATGTCAGAACAATGGCACCACTAATAAAATAGTCTTGAATCCAAGATCATCCAGAGCCCTGAACACAGACAACTATTCCCTTCTCTGATCTGCTGTTTGCAGCCTCCCAGGATGCAGGCTGAGGCCAACAGCTCCTCTGTGAGGCTGTTGTGGATCCAGTGGTAGCTAAAGTGATTCCTGCCTTTTCTCACCCTGAGAACTCTCCCATCCTAGTCCCACCCTCACAGTGTACAGCTGTGAAGATGCAGTGGTGTGTGGGTGCTGCAATGATCATGTGAAAACTTCCTCTCTGGCCCTACATCATCAAATGCCCCTGAGTCCTTCCTTGCCATCATATGAAGGGTATTTTTCTAGTAGAGTGTTGCATGAGAGTTCTTTACATCGTGCCAAGCCCACGTCCATCCTCCTCTTCGCCTCCTTTCTGAGGGCTGTGGCTTTTTCACAGCACTCCTGGAAGGCGTTTCTGCATTCGGGGGAGCCAGCCACCTTTGTCAGCCTTTTCCCACAAGAAAACCTCATGGGATTTAATTTCATTCCATCTTCACAGCATTTTCGTAGCTCAGTGTTTTGATATTTGCTGGCTGCAAGATAATTAAAGCCCAGAATTAGTGCTGTGGAAGTAGCAAAAGACATAAAGGTGCCTGTCATGCACATTTCTGTCATTCTTTGCAGTTAATGTTAGTTGCTGTTGCAACAATATGTCTTCAGCTGGGGAACTGCTCTCCATCCTAAAAACAACCCACAAGCACAGGAGGAAAGCATGGGCCCTATGGCATCTTAGATATGCTGTTCTAACCCTTCTCTTCAAATTCAGAATGTGAGTTAAAAATGCCTCCTTGGAGGTCTGGAATTGGGTGTCTTGCCAGAAGTAGCCATGGCAGTGTTTTTATTCTTGAATAAAGAGACCAATTAAAAAAATAAGGAAGTTCCCAGCTTTAAGACTTCCTCTTCTGTTAAGGAAATATCCATTTGTGTAAACTTTTTTCTTTTTTTTTTTTTAAAGTTAGACCAAATATTATGCTTGCTTTTCTATTAACTGGAACATTGACTACCAAAGCTGGCACAACTTTAAAGTAGAATGTCAGAAAAAAAACCAAACATAGGATCTGTAAAACATTTTCTTGCCATACAGATAATTTTGAAAAAATTTAAAGCCATGACTGTTTCCATGACATGATATCCAGTAGAAGTACTTCACATCTGGAATTAAAAAATGGTGAATTAGTTTCCATTTGTAGGCAGCCCACTCTTTTTGGTTTTTAAGTTGTTTTGATAGATGGTGTATCAGATGACAGTGCACAGTACACACACTTTTGCTATGTTATGTCACAACTCCAGAGCTGGGACTATGGATATCTTAGTATCCTTTACTATCCCACTATTTCTTGCTCCCTAGATCCCAGCCAGATCCCATTGCCTCCCCCTGCTAAGCCTTACAGACCACCCAGAGGAGCAGACATACCAATCATTGACATTTTCTTCTGAAAATCCAAGGATCTCTTCTGTCTTCTGCTAACCTGGAGACATGTATAGCCTGGGAAAGTAGAATCGAAGAGTTTGGTTGTGATATTATGACTGTAGCAGACAGATCATTCAAGTCATTCATGGAAGACCCATCTTGGGACCCATCTTGTTCATAGAAGACCCACAGTGGGACAGGCTACATTATAGCCCTAGCCCCAACCCTTGCCCTGCTGTCTGCCCCAGCAGAGCTGGACACCAAAGGGCCAGCAGCCACACTCTGAGCTACCCGGGCTGCCAGCACCCAGGGCAAGAACAGGAGAAGAGAAATCCACAGGCAAAAGGGATTTTACAACATCAGGATAATATGTTTCTTAGGAAGAAGTTCTTCAGTCCAAGGGTGGTGAGACTCTGGAATAGATTGCCCGGAGAGGCTGTGGATGCTCCTCTCTGGGGGTGTTCAAGGCCAGGTTGGATGAGGCCTGGAGCAACCATGGCAGGGGGGTTGGATTAGAAGATCTGTAGGGTCCCTTCTGACCTCAGCCATTCTATGATTCTAATCTGGTTCTGATTTTTAAGCAATCAGCCTCCTCATATCTATAGTGGTCTTGTAGAAACTCTAAAGTGCAGGCCAGGTTGTACTCACCCTCTCGAACATTGGATTTAATTGTGTCTGATAAGAATGCCAGACCAACATCACTAAAAACTTGAACACTATCTGCACCACCACCTGCAGAACATCCAAGATCATACGAATTCATAGCATTAAACACCTGCCAAATGAAATAATATAGATAGACTGTATGCACTTCCAAATATGAGCTTTTTTTTAATATATATTAAAAAATTCTCGTAGCCTTTGACTTGCAGAAGCAAAACATACTGGTGTTACAAGCTGCATTTGAAAACTGAGGTTAAAAGATGTTTTATTTGGAGTGGGCTTTTTTAATTTATAGACTTTACTGCTGTATCATGGAAATCCCCATCTTAAATATATCTTTCATCTTAAACAGATCCTAAATTGCTAAAGCAAAAACATTTTCAAGTTTAGCAAAGCTGTGAGTAAGCAATTAGGAGCCATTAATGAACTTTTGATCCTCTCATTTTTCATGGAAAATTTGGCTTCACTAGTAGATATGATATTTTCCTCTTATAAATATCTTACTTTTTTGGCTGTAAGCTTATTTTTCTTGTTCAGAATAAACACTGCTTTGTCAACCACAGCTAAGGCAACTGTTCCTGCGTGGTCTGTTTCAATCAGTAAGTTGATGTTGTCTGTTGGTTCATACATCTCTTGGTCTGTTCTGACTTTAATCTAAAGAGAAGAGATTGAAACAGAATTGTCACATTTGTTAATAAGAAGTGAAGGCTCCTTAGGCTGGTAATACTGTCAGCTGTGACTGTCAGCAGTTAGAGGCTGGGGCATGTTCTGTTTTGAGGTGTTTCTGCCTGGGATCTTGTGCTCTGGAAGATGTAGGTGCAGATATCTCCCACTGGAGGATGACATCAGGGTTTAAAGATGTGTTTCTGCAGGATATTGGACGCTGCCTTTCCACGTCAATTAAGCACCAATGGAAATTAAACATATGTGTAAGGGGTTTGCTGAACTAGGACCTTCAACATCATTTTGTTATTTACCAGCAGAAAGAAAATCACAATGAATACAGCAAAAGGCTAATTAACATACAAAATCAAGTGTTTCAAATCAGTCTGTAATATTATTAGCTTCTTTCTGTCTCACACTTGAATATTTCAACATGACTACGTTCAGGTTAGTACATACCTGTTGTAGGCACTTCTGTAATTAAAGAGGAGGTAGCCATGGTGATTATGAAATTAATAGGGAATTATTAAAGGAAATGTCAACTTAAACATAACTGGGTTTTGTCATCACATGAATGAAGAATTGGCTTTTGTGTTAAAAACGGGTAATTTTTCTGGAGAACTTCTTTTCTCCAATGGATTGTCACAGTTGTTTTCCAAAACATTTCTTTTTTAAAACCATTTTAAACAGCTGATACTTTTCAGTAGTTGTGTTTCACACTATTATAAAAAATTTTCTTGTCTTATTTTTTTCATTTTACATTGCAGTACCAAAAAGGAGGAGGAGAAAGGTGAAAGAAAGGCTTACTGGAACATTTATTTTGTCCACACTTCATTTTCTAATGTAAAGGATTTTATTTTTTTTAAAGTGCTTTTGAAGTGTTTAAAAATCTCAGAAAATTACTTTTAACAGTAATGAAAAAGCTCAAAAACTTAGATTTTTTTCCCCAATAAATTGCTTCACTTTCTTTCATACAATGCACCTCACTATACAAAAAGACAATATTATGAAGAGATTCTGGCCCTCAACAGTATTATTGATATTTTCCTGCAGATTTCTAATATATGGACACTTGCAGAGGAGGATTTATCTGTCCAGAACTGTTTTTTTTATCTCTGAGGCACAACCTGTCCTATGGAAGAAGTTTATCCCTGCCATCACTCCTAGGAGCCTTTCTCAGCAGTACCTTTCAGCAAGAATCCTGCAGACTGCCTCTTTGAATAAAAATGAAATGTCTTTCACTTTATAACCCCACTTGCACTGCTTCTGCCCCATTTTTTTTTGGTTTTATTCTGAAATACAATAACTGAAGCTACTTGCTTTGAAAGTACCTTTCCTTCGCAGACATCCACAACATCCACCCACACAGAGTCAGCAACAATCTCCTGGCGGCCCTCATTTGCAATGAAGTAGTAAGCTAAAAAACGGAAGGCAGGCACCATCTTCTGGGTGATTTTAAGGTTTATTACTTTGTTTGAAGAGGAGACCCTTCCCAAAAGCTCAGCTTGTCCTTTTGCCACAACCTACAAGGCAGAAACAAAGGGAAATCAAAGATCACGAATATGCACTAGACTTGGCATTATGATGTATAATTTTATATTAATATCTAGAGTTTTCTGGGGCCATTTCTGTTTAAAATTTATTCTTTTCTAATGGCACTTAATAGTTTTAATTCCCAACCTGCATACCTGTAGCCTGGAGGAGGCCAGACCTGCACACAGTGCCTCTAGCACAGGAGTGTGCTAGGAAGCTTCTGCTGCACCAGCCCTGTGGCCAAGTTTTGAACTCAAATCTACCACCCACCATTTAGTCTTATACCTTGAAAAGTAGGTCCCAGATGGCAGTCTTAGTTTTTTTTTTTTTTCCCCTATGATAACAGGTTATCATCTCCAGAAGTGTATCAGCTTCATTTAATCTGTAATCAGTACTGAATCTTTGAGATGGTGTGGAAGGGTTGGAGCAGGAGGTTTCACCCCAAAAGTATTATTCAGAATAAAGTACCATAGATTGGCCCTGAACTGGTTTCAGCTCATCTTTCACTATTTAATTCCTCTTGTCCCATGTGATGTTAATTATATTGATGGGTTGTCAGAGGAGTGGAAAGTGTTTGACAGGACTGGTAGTGTTCTTCCCTGAACAAAATACAGGCAGCTTCAGGAGGAAACAAGACACGTGGCAGTCTGGTTTGAAATCCTCACTGGCTCCTTCTAGGTGACCAAAGTTTGATAGAGAGCCCCACTGCTGAGCTCCATCAGTGTTTCCCTTCCCACACCTCCTGCCTGCCCACCATGGTGCCTTCCCAGAGCCTGGCAGGAGCAGTTCCAACCCTGTGCTAAGTCGTGCACTGAAAATAAACCCCCAAACCTAAATCTAGCTCCTAGGGATACAATTATTCCAGTGTAATAGAGTCCTATTAAAAATAAATGGGAACTGGTGCCCATGGTGCTTTATCATCCTAGGAAATTTAAGCTGTCAAGGGGAATTACGATGAAGAGGGGGAGAAGGAAATTAAACACATTTGGCATTCAACAGATTCTCTCTTGGAAAGTATCCACGAACAAATTTGTTTCTTCAGCAAAATAAATACTTTGCATTCCTGGTCCCAGGCTGAGCAGGATTGTTTCCTTGCTTTTCCTTCTATAAAACTGCTTTTCCAAACCAGTTCCAGGATGCTGTTGTAGGGCCATAACAGCAAATGCCTTTAGAGATCCTTCATAACATTATCTCTTGGAGATTACACCGACCTACCTGGTAACTAACATCAGATACAGGTGATACAGAACCATGGTAATATAATAATCATGTATTATTCATGAAATTAACAGCTATCTATAAAAGATATTTTCTGAGAAGTTCAAAGTCTTCTAGAACACAATTAGTTTTTCTTATTGCAAAGACAGAATCTTATGTGTACATATGATCTACCCACAAGAAGATGGGCAATTCTGTAATAGCCAAAACCCAAGGTATTTATGGCAACCACACCAATAAAAATAGTATTTAATATTGTCTTATTACAAGGAAAAAATAAATAGCAAGAAGTGAGAAAGAACGAGATCTAGATTAACAGAAATCAAATTGTCATAGATATCATAGAAGTTATTGGCCTAGGATTTCAGCTTTCCAGGCTGTTAAGTTTGTGCACACAAGCATTAACCAATATGGATCTATTTGCTCTAGACTGTGCTAGAAACTACAGACTAAAATTTGTATTTATGTACCCTTCTTTAGAAAAACAACATTTACAAAGATTTGATTATTATGTGTGCAAAAATATATGCAAATACATAAAAATAACAGAATCATAGAAACACTTTCTGGAAGGGACCTAGGGAGATCTCTATTCCAACTGCCTCTCTAAGATGAGCCAAGGTCAAGTGTGCTAGGACAGGGATCATCTCAGCTGTCCCTTTTTTGAAAACCCTTTGGTTTCCCATGTATTGGTAACTAGATAGAGGTTCTGCACTGTCTAATTTCTAAAAGAAAATACTGATATGCTATTATTCTGTTTACCATATAATAGAAATAGTCGATCTTCCCACTGCCAGGCTGATGAATAGCATTCAAGGTGATGTGTAAGGTATCTCCAGGTGCCACAGCAGTGTGTGGGATGCTGATGCTGAGGTAGTTTGAGGAAGCAGACTGGTATCTTTCAGCTCTGATGGTAGTTTCTGGTGATTCTAATTTTTCTTTTCCTTCTTCTGCCTTTACCTATCAGGGAAGAAAAGGACAGAGTGAGTAGTGTCCCTCAGGAGATAGTATAAACTGTCACTCTAATTCATATCTTGCGAGGTTATTCAGAAAATGCTAGGAAATTAAATCAATCAATCACTCCTGAGCCCTCATTAACAGAATCTGACACCAAAAGACAGGATTTTAATTACTTTGTTCTCTCACCCTATTTTGTCTCTTACTGTACTTACTTTGGATATTTTTCAGCCTTGGCTCTCTCTAAATGAGAATCAATGGCTCAAAGCCACAAAGTGATTTTGTACTTTGTTTTTTTTCCCCCCTTTTTTATTGTGCATGTAATTGAACCTTTTGAGTGTCCAGATGCAGCCTACTCTTTGCATTGCTCAGGACCTTCTCTTTCACCTTCTTCTCATAATTTTCAGTCACCTTTTATGGTGATATTCTTTACAGTCCCATCTCCATCCTTTTTGCCATGAAAATGTACATCTGAACACCATAAAAGCACCACTACCACCAATGTATGAACACTCAAAACTCCAGTGTATGATAGAGTCCTTCACTCCAGCGAGACATCCCTCAGGCCCTGGTCCCTCTAACACATCTTACACAATTTGAACAAAGCTGAGCAGATACAGCAAGAAATCACTTTCCACCCTCTGTCCTAATTTAATGAAAACTGACAACCTTCACAGCAGGATATTTTAAACATGGATTTTTGGGTTTTCCTTACCATTATTTGAAGCACCTGAGCATCTGCAGGGATGTCAAATGTGAAGGGGATGAGACCCTCTTTGTCAGAAAGCGCAGTCTTCTTCATGGTGGGTTTTCCAGGCAAGGTAACAGTAGCAGTGACAGGTAGAGAGGCAGCAGGAGAGCCATCAATCAAAGAGACAGATGCCTATTGAAAAAAAAATGCTTTTCTCTTCCATCAAGGAAATGGGTGGCTTTAAAAAACGCCCACACACAATCAACAATTATTTTTATAAACCAAAAAGAACTACAAAACTGTACACATTGATGTTTGACACTGTGAGCTTGATAAAAGGGGATAGCAATCAATTCAATCTGGACTCCAGCTAAGGTAAAAATCTGTGAACACAGACTAACAGCTGCCCCAGATCTTCACTGAGCATCTATTAGATCTCAGCTCATCCCAGAGATATTTGTCTTTTACTATCATGAGGTAGATTTTTAACTTTAACTCTTTGTAGAAAAGCTTGAATGTGTGAAGTTTAAAAAGAACAAATTTTTATATGCTTTTTTTTTTAAAAAAAAAAGAAGTACCCTGTTTAGTTTTCAGCTAGTTTGATATGGGATTACTTTGCTACAACATTGTTATTTTAAACTTGTGATATGGAAGTGAGAAGAGACAGCCACATGTTTTATAAAAGCTCGCAGTGCAACAGTGCACAGATAATTGCTAGAACAGAACCCCAGGATTTTCTAGATTCAGTTCCCCTCTTCAGGCTCTGTGTGCACAGAAACGAGACAAAGCAGCCACAAAACCAGGAGCTCTGTTTGGACTGATTCCTGAAGGTCTCTGTCCTGCAGAGCTCCCACTGGGTCGGAGGAGGGATTTATAAGCAGCACAGATATAAACCCCTTGCTGTGGAGGCAACAGACAGAGCCAGCTGAACATCACATACCACAACAGAGTAGGGAGCTCCAGGCACAAAATACTTCTTGGTGTTGGACAGATCAATGATATAAGGAGATTTCACAAACTTAATGTGGCTGAGTTCCTCTTCCCTCATCTCACCACCTGTTAATATCAAACAGCATGTGTTGCCATGGGAGTAATAACTGGGTACTTGCATATTACCATAGCATCCATCATTTCTGTTTTCAGAATTAATTGCATTTTAGCAGGACATATAAAGAAAACTGAAAGATGATCCCTCCCCAAAAAACTTCAGTCCTGAGAAGAGGAAGAGATGGATTAGAGGGGTTTGGACCTTAGATCTCTAATTTTCTGAAAGAGAATTGTTTTTCATTTTCATTTTTTGACTACTGGTGAGAGTCAATACTACCTAGTATCATCTTCTGCAGCTTGGCACTTAGAAGTCAGCTTGAGCATCTGTTTCTCATCAAGGATTCTTCCAGTTAAACCGTCCAATCTTCCAGTTAACTTCTAGTTAAACCTCTCTCCATAACTACTGCTAAAAATACCAGTTAATATTTCTCACACAACAGATTATACTAGAGCAAGATCAATGTGAATATTACAGACTATCAGCTAAGGCATGGTGTACTCACTTGCAGTTTCTACAGTGGTAACAGCAACATACAAATGAAATCCTTCCAGAGTGGAAATACTCTTTCTTAATTTCTCTTCCAAAAGCAGTGTGTTTAAAGTAACTCTTCCTTTCCCATTTTGAACCTAAAACAGAAGTGAAAAAAAAACAACTGACAACCCTTTACTGTTTTGTTGTTGTTAGAATTAAAAAATGTTGTATATAGCATGACTACAGTATTACAGGGATCTGTATCTCAATAATTTCTAAATATGCAGCTCACATGGGATAAATCAGACCAGTTCCCCTGAACTCCAGTACTTACTGAAAGCTGTTGTTCCAGGCCTGGAAGAAAGACTTTTTTCTCATTTTCATCAATGATGCCAAATCTCACATATGCAACACCTTGAATCCCCTTCCCATAAGAGTGTCTTTGGAAGGAAGGAAAATGAGGAGATGAATCATGACACTAATAAAAAGTGAGTGTAAATCAGGCTAATCGTTTTATGCTGAAATGAAATTGTGATATCTGTAAGCAAGCCATCTGTAACAAATAGCTTGAAACCCAAAATCAGTCCCACTCACTGGTAACAAAGACAGGAAGACTTTTACTCATCTGCTTAAAAAGTGATGATTTCTGGGGCAGAGAAATACACGGAGTAAATCACATTGGCAGGATCACATGTGAAGATGTCATCTGACAAAATTTACAGCAGAATAATTTCAAGACTTTTTTTACAAAATAATGAGAACTTTAGTTACACATTGAAGTCTCACACAACTTGCCCCCTTCACATGGAGGAGGAGCAGTATTCAGTCTATCTAACTTGGATGAACAGTCTAGCATAGGGACCTCCTGTAAGTGAAATATTTGCCAGAGAGGTATATGGCCAGAATGCCCCTGAACTCTCCATCCAGGGCATGGAGAGAGAGGATAGGGCATGTTGTTGCAGGCTCCTTACTGAAGGAAACCCTGGCAGATAGAATCCTCCTTCAGCACTGTGTGTAACAGCCATGGCATTGTCTTCTGCTTGTGGAAATCCTGCTTCATCTCAGCTCTGTAATGATTTTATTTTGTCTAAACAAAGCTCTTTCAAACTCATCTGATCATCAGTACAGATCTATACCAATGAAATTAGCTGGGAGGCAGTTCCTACAGAAACTGCTTCAAATGGCAGAACCAATAACCATGGAAAACAACAGTCAATACACCAACTGTTCATTCCATGCATGGCCAGTTCAGAGAAATAAGTTCAATTATCAGGAATTCCATATGCTGATTATGATGAAAGTCTGGTAGGCCTGGGTAGCACCACTTGGATCTTTTCCAATAGACAAAAGAACAGTATCCAGTTATTAAATCCCATTTTTTTCCTCCTAAATAATGATGATGCTAATGAGTAGTGAAGGATATACGAAGGAGTTGTACAGTCCATAAACTCAATATTGAGTGCTGCAATAACATATAGAGAAAACTTTAGAAAGGATTAAGATATTAAAGCTAGTTATCTGATAACCTTATATCACAGTATTAAGTAATCACAATTAAAGTTAGGAATTATTCAATACAACCAAATAAAGAAGTGAAGGTGATCAAGAGGAGATTAGAAGAGCACAGTCTGTTGATGCAAGGGACAGGAGATGGATACAGGGTTCTGCCTGCTCTCTCAGAGTGTGCTGGGGAAAGGAAGGATCAGCAAAGGTCAAGGTGAAGAGCTCAAGGCTCAGAAACCCTTTCTGGGACTGTTTAATTTACCACCCATTGGCTCAGATATCTTTTCTGGTATCTCTTTCAAATGCAGATAAGTCTCCTACTGTAATAGAATAATTCTTCATGTAAGGAAAGCATCTAAGAAATAATATCAAAATACATTAAATAATATTTGAGTATAATAATAATTTGTTTGCTGCTCTAGCTTGGAGAGCTTTCCAGAGTCAAATAAAACATTCAAAGAGGCTTTGCCTAGGAAGCTTAATGAAATATCCTGATAAAATTATACAACTTACTCTGCAGAATCAGCAGGTTATTAGAATCTAACTTCACTATTAAAACATCTCCCAACAATATCACATGTGTATTTTTATATTATCCAAAAATAACTGCAAACAATTAATAGTCAAAATACTAAAAGTGAATGGATACAATAAGTTTTATAAGCTTCAAAAATAAATATTGATTATTTCATAAAATATACAGTTTGCTTTCCAGTTACTTGGGTATCATAACTGTACCAAAAATTTGCCCACTGTTTAGCATGAAATATATTTAACAATACTAGCTACAAGAACTCTGTGTGAGCTTATTTGTGGCTTTGTGTTAAAGAATCTTAAGGAATACAGTGAATCAAGCTCAAACACCATGAGGTGCTGACTTAGGTTTTAAGGAGTTGTTCTTAGTGAAGGACTAACATTACTTGGGGATACTGTGTGTTCAGTTCTCTGCTGGTGTGTCAAAATTGGCCTGAGATAAATCTGAGATTTTGTCTAGGTAAGGAGAAATAAGCAGAATAACTATTTCAGTGCTACTTAGATAATGCACAGTGCCTCATTTCAGGAGATATGTGTCTTCCATACCAACTCTCCAATATGTTTGGCAATATCCTAGAAACCTGCTCAATTTGATAGCATTTGCTAATATTATTTTCTGATCTTTAACAGTATAAAAAATTAGGAATCTACAGAAACAAATACAAAAAAAACCCAAGAGCAAGAAGGTGATCAGACTCCTCACTCCTTTGAAACTGTAAGTACTTCTCCCAGCCATGAGAGGACAGCTGCCTCCAGCTGCCTGTTATCATTTAATAAAATTTATTCCTCTTCAGAAAACAACAACAAAAAAAGTCACAAAGTTCTAATTTAGTCACTAATTCAGAGGTCTAACTTTTCACATAGAGGTTCTTTGAACAGCAGAAAACAAACTTCTATTCAAGTGCAGTATATTTTAGCCAATTTCTAGTATAATGTTTTTTGTGATGGAACTTCCCATACTCTGTCACCAATGTGATACCATTTTCCTACAATGGCACTGAGTCATCTTTAAAACAGATTTAAAATATAACTGTAAATTAAATTTATAACATCTAAACTAATGCCACACTGAACCACTGCACTTAAATGGTGTGTAGATCCTGAACTTAAATCTCATATAAATATGAGATCTTAAATCTCACAGAAATATGTCCTACCAAAGCCATCAACTCTAATTGCATGAGTGGTGATGTCAGTGAAAAGGAAATACGTCACTGAGTATCTAGAGGACTATTTGATTTCTTTCTCTATCTTCCCAATGTACAAGTTGGCCAAGACATTTCTGGGTATTCTGGATTCCACTTGAGTGGGAAATAAAGGAAGAACATTCTCCTAACAGGCAGTTGTTTAATATTCCCACTCCTAAGAAATTTGAAAATTCAACAGCCAAGAAATCTTGCTATATGTTGATGAGCATATGTTGATGTTAGATCATACAGCAAATTTAGATCTGTCAGCGTGGGATCAAAAATACCAGAGCCACACAGCACAAAATACTTAGTCTAGGTTCAGTCTGATGCTTCCAAAGTATTCAAAATATTTTAATGGGTTAAATTTTCATTGTCTAACTTCCTAAGTCACTCTGTGTTTGGTGCCATTGTAATTTGCTAAGGGATGAGGTGTAATTTGTTCTCCATTGGGCCCTGCCTCATGGGCTGGCCAGTCTGAGACCTTTGAAGCCACATCTCATCTAGATCAGCATCACAATGCTGTGGAGTAATGCACAGGTTTGTAGTGATGGTCATGGAAACTCCTGTAATTAACTGTATTTATTCTCCTGGAAATGTTTCTGAATAAAATTATTACTCCTAAATAAGCACTAGTTTATTACTTCCAAACTTCACTGGGATTTGAGAAAATTTCATATCCAAACTTGAATACATCTCTATTTGAATTAAATTAAATAGCAACATCAGAGGCTTTAGAACATTTCTAAATGTTTCAGCCAAAAAAGTATAAAGAAAAAAAGGTTATTGGTTTGCCTGGAACCTTATCTAGCAAGATGAGAATGCCCAATAGTCACCTTTTTATTAGCAAGCTAGAATATTCAGAAAATCTGGTTCCATTTTGATCCCCACCACTTGGACCCAGACAAGATTTTACACTAATGTCTCAAGTTAGTAGTGGAAACAGAGTAAAGTCAGATTAAAGTCAAGCCAGAAGCTGGTTAGCTGTTAATGACAAGAAAAAAGATGCTGCAAAGTTCATGATCTACTTCTCTGCCCCTAAAACAGCCTCCCCATGAGCACACCTACTTTGCCTCAATATCAAACCCGAAGCTTTCATTCCAGATGTGGTAGTATGGCTGAAGTGGGATGAGTTTGACTTCAAAAGATGGAAGCTCTGCACAAGAAAAAGGAGACAAAAGGGCAGGACACGTGAGTTTCAAACATACTTCAAACTCCTGGCATGTGGCAAAAGCCACTTAAAGGATGCAGCTGCACTGACAGGATGTTTTAGTTTGAACCAACAGTGCACTGCTGAAGCAAATCTCCTGATCCTCTTCCCTTACTCTGCTTCACAACGTGGAGCAACCTTCAAACACACAAGATTGATTTATTTACAATTAAAGAAGCCAGGAGATGAGCTCTAACTGCTAATGGGCATGAAGTGCCCTGGCCTGGAAGCAGCTGGAAGTAAACCCACCCTGAAATGGGTTGAGTGTGGACATGGGGTCCTCAGCATCACTCTAGATATAGACAGAGTCATTTTCTCCTGGATCTAAGTGTTTGCAGATGATTCAGTGGCCTCTACTATTCTGTTGCATCCACTAGCTAAGGCAGAGTGAGTTATGTTAAACTGACATTTTCATATAGTACTGAGGTTTTCTTCTGCCTTTAAGAAAATAACCAAAAATCAGCCCACACTTGATTTTACAAGAAACATCATTTCAGCACAAATAAATAAAGCCATTTCTTACTCTAAATTATGAAGCTGCATTTTTACTTTCTACACAGTGCCTTTGCTTTTCATTAAAAAAGTTTCTCTGAGTATAGGAACAACTTCAATCACCTTCCAAACTGAATTCTATTGAGAGAAAATATGTAGCTTTTTTTTTTTAATTCTAGATTTCACTGAAAACTTCAGACAGAATTACAAGGATTTTAAAATGGAGCTCATCTCCATTTTTTTTTCCTACAGTAGAACCCCTCCAAAAAAAGATATTTCATGAAAAATGTTAAATCTACTAAGTCTGTATAAAAATAAACATTTGGTTTGTATTTTTTTTTAAAAAATCTAAGTGAAAGGCACACAAAACCAGAGTTGTCCTTCTGTGCATCAGAGATGGGAATGAAGCACTGGAACACTGTTAATCTTGTCCTTACTACCTGACTACAGCCAGGTTTAATCATTGCAGTAAATCTTCCAACACATGGTGATGATTTCATGTATTTATAATGCAAATCAGTCTCTTACCATAAATTTTGACTTCAAATTCAGCAGAAACATTAGACATTTCATACTGATGAAACCAGGCTTTGATTTTCCACGTTCCAGGCCTAAAGTTCAGATTCAGCAGAAAATAGTTAATTAGGATTCCTCAGATATTTTATGTTGCTAATATATTTAAATGATCAGTAAATGGTAATATTTCCCTTGCTTTGATCTCATCCCAAACTAATTTATTAATGGATTTCTCTTTGCTGGGAGGAGCCAGCAACAGAGTTCCAAATGACCCAGGAAAGACTCCAAAAGACTTTATGAGGAACTGCAAGATGTTTGCAAACCACATGTGAGGTGCACTGCCTTTGAAAAGTCCACAGAAAGAGAAAACATTATATATTCCTATAGCTTGTCTTTGCTGTGATGCCAAAATCAATCTGCCATGGCAGAACACACTGAATATTAAGTAAAAGCCTGATGGTTTGAAATCAGAGGTAATTAATTACACCTTGCAGACTGAGCCCTTACAGAAGTGCTCTCCTGAATGGAGTCATATGGTTGAGCAGATATTTAAGCAGTTTGCTAAGTTGCTCCTTCCCAAGATAAATGTTGCTGATTGCAGCATATTAACATTAAATTCTGGACTCATCTCTCTAAGATGAGGTGCTTAAAGGTAAAAAGATATTAACTGTAGGCTCAATCTCTGTCCCATGAGAAAGATCATGTTGAAATTTGTGAGAGAAAGATAATTTTGAAGGGTAATTCAAGCAATTCAGCAGTTAAAAATCTTAAGTACTTCAACAGGTAAGGGGGATGGATTTGTATGGTTTGACCCTAACAGGAGGTGGGGTGAGTCCTCCTCATTTTAGACATTATATTGTGAGGTTATTCATCTGTGTAGGTCCCCTTGGGGTCCTCTACAGCCCCTGGAGAGGAGCAGGCAATGCTGAGATGTGGTACACCTCATCCTGACATCCACCTTAAACAGGTCAGCTGAATCCCAGCTTAGAGGTCAGAGGAGGGAGAGTGGGGCCACCAGCTCAGGTGGAGACCCCTCCATGGCAGAAGGCTCTGGGGCCAGCTCCAGAGCAGCCATGCCTTGTCCCCTGCTGTCACTGGCTGGCAGTGCCTGTGGTGCTTCTCAGGTGTGGTCAGAGCAAAGCTGTTGGCTTTGGTGCACCTCAGAGCCTAACTAACTGATAGAGGAGACAATACACAACTGGAAAAGAAGGGACGAAAACAGAGGAGTGGAGCTGAAAGGAAAGAAAGGATGGACAAGACTCTTAAACTTGAAGATAGTTCTCTCTAAGAGACATTTTGGCACGTGAACTGTTTTTGTGTGCCAGGCACAGCTGTGACATACTCAGCAATGTCAGGTACTTCAAAGCTTTCACTGAAGGCTGCCTTTATTTTCCTATTCGACTTCTTCACCACCATCCCTTTTGTGTTCTGTTGAGAGAGACAAGAGGAACATCAAATCATGCACCAGCTCTTACATCCAATAACTCAAATTCCTATTTGAGTCCTAAATAGGAGAAAGTGCTCTGCTTACTTTTCTGTTTTAACATGGACATTACATTTCTCTCCATTCTCCTATATTGGCCAAAAATGACCAGGCATATCTCACAGTGTGCAAATACTGATTTCTGAAAAGGTTTCATAGCCACAGTTCTACTCCTGTTGTCTTCTGTGGAAGTTTTTCATAGTTCCTGTGCTAAAGAAGCATTCATGAACAGTGTTGGGTTTTTTTTTTTAATACTTACTAGCACAGCAACTGTAACTGTGTCATCTGCTGGCCTCATAGCACTGTCCAGAATGAAGATCCTGTATTTTACTGTTTAACAGAAGAACAAATGTGTTCACATATTTGTTTCTGGCATTTCTAGATAGCAATGATTACAAGCTCTAACCCAAGTTACTGAATTTAGGATAAAACACTTTCTTTTAATGAAAAGAAAGCTGAGAAATTCCCAAAAGAATTCTTTCCACAGGCTTTACACGACCAAGCAGACAGGTTTTTGAAACAAATTCTGAGAAATACTCAGGGAGTCTCACTCACTTTTGTATTCCTTCTGCAGTCAAGGCCTGCAATGAAACTCCATGACTTTTTTGACTTCCCTCTCTTATTACCTAATCAAATTGTTAAGTAACAAAACAATTGTGGTCTTAAGGTGCAAAGGATACTTCCTGTTTGCATCACAAGCAGAAAAAATAGGAGATTTTTTTTGCAGGTTTTTCACAATTCTGTTTTCCAAAGGGAAGTCATGATTAAGTTTTTTGATCAAAAAGAAGCAGATTTTGCCTGGCTGCTGTCAGAAGCCAGAACACCCTTTTGGCTGGGGTGGCATTTCCACAGGGGTTGCTGCAATGTGCAGAGCAGCCCCTGCAGAAGCCCTGTCTGCAGAAGGGGAGTTTAAAGCCTGACCTAGCTGGTAGGCACAGAAAGAGCTGGGGTTGAATGAGAAGGATTTAGATTTGGAAGGATCCAGTTGTTATTAGTTTTTCTAATCATGCTGCTGCAGGATGTATATTCAACTAAAATGCAACGTTTGTATTTTAACCTTTGGAACTGGGTGTGTACACAGGCTTGTCTGTCTGAATGAAAATGTAGCCTTTCCTGGAAGACAGGAGGACACGAGTGCTTTGAGTGGTCTCCCCAAAAAGCTCCCTGCTCTCAGTGACCAGCAGAACAGAGGGCCGACTGTTCTTCTTGAACACATCCTGTGGCAGAGCCTCTGCTTGGACCTGAAGAGAGCAAAAGGGAAAAAAAAAACTAAAACCACATAGTGAAGATCCAAACCTGGTAACTTTGGAGGCACACAGCTGAGGCCCCAAAACAGCTGAACTGCTTAAATAATCTTATTAGCACCACCCAACAGAAGTTATTCAATTAGAACTTTCTTACTGGGTGTTTCAAGTGGAAATATTATCTAATTTTCCCATTTTGTGCCATAGAAATATACACTCTTCTGTAATTCAAGCCCAGTGACTTTTTGTCAGTCTACCTGCATGCTAAATTCCAGTTACCATGTCATTTGGTAGCTGTAGCAGCATCCTGTGGTCCTTCATTTGCTAAAATCTTGGCTAAGAGATAAGAGCTTTGCCTCATGTGGGTTAATAAAATGTTTCCAAGCATTGTGCTCAAGACAAACTTGATTTGAAAGGTTTTAGCTTTGGGAATAATCAATCAGAGCTAAACTGGGTCTTGACATGTACTGTTTTCCAACCAAATAACCCAAAATAGTTGTCCTAAACGAAATGCTGTCAGACTTCAAAGAATCATGTCAGGAGCCAATGATGCAAAGCAGGATGTAAAGAGGAATGAATAGATTTGCAGAAAGATCACAGGCTTAGGGCTGAGAGACTGAACATTTTTAAACACTTCTGTTTTGTAAAAATGACCAATGTGCCAAAGGCATCAGTGCAGTCTTAATTTAGGGGATGCAGGACAATAAACACTGATAAAACAACTAAAATTTTTAACTTTAATGTTATCACTGATCCACAGTGATGAAAAGACTTTTCAACACCATGTGACAAGATCTTGAGCTTGCTTGTTTGGCACAAAAGAGCATCCTGAGTTACCCCCAAAATGTTATTAGACATTGTTTTACCAGCTGGTTGGGTGAATAGGGTGCTGCTGTCACCTGGATTGGGTGTTTTGTCATCTGTCTCTAGGGATCTGTGCTGTCTCTGTTCATTCCTAGTACAGATCCTGTATTTTTATCACCAGACTAAAACATGCATCACTCTGATGGTGGACTCACCAGTACTTTTTTCACCTCTTGGTAGTTGTTATTTTGGTTAAGGTTAAAGAGGATCCTCTCTGATAGGAGCCAATTTTTTGTCTCCTCTTTGAAGTATGCAGTAACTTGCACAGGGTGCTGTGCTCCATGGACCTGAGCTGTTATTGTCTGATGTGTGCCCAAATGCACCACGTTTGGGGCAGTAATAAGAAATCTAAAACAACACAGAAACAAATCATCCAGTAAGTAGGCTGATTTTGGCATAATACAGCAGTGTCCAAGCAATACAAATCTTAAAGAGAAAGAACCAGACTCTCACAGAATAGCTGAGCTTGGACCTTGTGGAGGTGACCTAGTCCATCTCCTTGTTTGTCAGAGGAGAGGTTAAAGAAGACAGTTTCTCTCTGATTGATCCCCAAATTCTGAGTAATCTTATTTAGGTCTTAAAAGAGATTGGTCCCTATAGACAGAAGAGAAGAAAACCTACAATGTGTCCCAGTGACTACCCATGACATTTATAGCCTGGTTTAACTCAGAGAAAGTTCTACAAACTCAGCTTTCTGAAACAAAAAGAGGGCCACACATGTCCTAATCAGTCACTGTTCATTCAGATGTCACTGTTTGTGAAATGCTCTTAACAAGAGACCATGGAAGGTGAGACCACAGCCCTGGGAAGGGCTCAGCTGGAGGCTAAACTGCTTGAGATTTAGCTTTTTCTCTTTATTACCTTCCCTTAGTCTTAATGTTGCTCTGATGCTTCTTGGTAAGATGATTAATTTCATTACCTTTAAATGTAGATCATCATTCTTGAACTCTTTTTCCAAGTGTCTTTTACTCTTTTACACACAGAAATCAGAGAACTATGTGAACTGCTATGTCTTAATGATGTAATGGCACACACACAAAAAACCAGTTCTGAGCTCAGAAAGCTACTCCTGCAAAATTATTATTCTGCAGAAGACTACTAAAATTAATTATTTTACCATTTTCAGAATGTGTTGGCTGAGTTTCTCTTTTTTTACTTTTTACAGCAATAGAATTGTTTTTTTTTCAAAGGAAATTCAAATTAATTTCCTTTTTTTCTGATCATAAACATGTTGCATTGTGAAAACAGAACAAAAAGCATCTTTCTGCTTCTATGTAATTATTGAAATGCATTATAGGTGGTCTGGGTTTTCACACAAACATAGGGAACTTGGGAAAGAAAAATGGAACAGCCTTCAATAAACATTTTAAAATTTATTGGTTTTACCTATACATTTGTGAAAATACTTTCTAATGTTTCTAGTTTACAATGAACGATGAAACTTCTCTTTCAGTTACATTTACCCCCATGCATTGCTAGATCCTGATCTTTATTGGTTTTCTTTGTCTAATTGTCTTCTCTAATTCATTCCTCAGATGCATTTGGCATCTATATTCATTCAGTGCTTGAATATTGAGAGGAAAGTTGTCATATTCATGAAAGAGAGGGTGATGCTTGCTCTCTGCCACAGCCTATAGAAATCTAGCATCTCTTTTTTCCAGCAGTGTAGCTGTTTAAATGTTTGCCTGTGCAGTAGCTCAGACAGATGTGGTCCCTTGGCTACACTGCCCATAATCTCAGCTGGTCAGGCAGAAGGCACATGTTGTCTCACAGCATCACAAGGAGATTTTCCTGGTTTGACCTGGCTGCCTAAATATCTCTTCAAAGCTCTCCTCTGGTTATGCCAAGTTCCTGACAGCACTTGATCCTGTGGGGGACAAAGCAGGCACTTCTTCTGGACATCTGTCCTACAGAAAAGGTCAGATTGAAGGCCCTTTAATGTTCTCCATAGGTTTTCCTCAGAGTTACATTTATTTCCAAAACATAGGTGTTTGTCCAGCTAGAAGAACCTGTATCAACATATGTAAATCTCTGCTAAAATAGAGGATAAATACAGAAAAACCCTGAAGCTCTCCCAAATGTGAAACCTTTGCTTTCTGCAATGTATAAATCAGTTACAGAAGAGAGAGTTATTCTCTCTCAAGATCTTCCAATCTGGTAAATGTCATAAAATGAAGGTGAACAAACAGCAAGAACAGCATGAACATCATGCTTTAGTAGGACATGTTAAATGATTTGCTACTGAATAGGCACCTCTCCCCTTAAAAGTACTTATTTAAGGTTAGACAAATTTTCTGTGATCCAAGAAATAAGGTTTGTTGATTCTTTGTCCAAACCATTAGCATTTCCCAGCTTCTCTTTCCAGGGATTTGTTAGGAGTGAAGAATGAATAATAAAGTGTACTTACGATGGTGCTTGCTGTGTATTGGACAGCAGGGAACAAAAGCTCATCAGAAGTACCAGCCTGTCCATTGGGAACCTCTACAACACCTGCAGAACAGAAGTACCAAACAGCCACTCTCAGCCTGCCCTTGAGGTGCAGGCTGGAAGAATGCATTGATGGCACATTGCAGCAAACTTTACCTATCCTGGTTATTTATTAATAACTTGTAAAACTGTGCAACCAATAATGTGTTCTCCTAGTGATACACAGACTAAACCTCTGCAGAGACATTCTGGACTAAGCCACAGTGTTACATCTGATTATTCATTCATTCTCTTCCCAGCTTCAGTATTTTTATATGATGGCAACTAAAAGCCATGTACAGAGAAAAGTTTTCACAAGCACTGCAAAGGCAATCCCAAAATCAAACAAAATGTTGTAGAGCACTTCTGAATGGGACAAGTGCAAGTGGAGACAGGTCCCTTCTCTATGGCATTGCTTAAGTCCAGGCATCTCTGTGTTCCAGCCAAAGGTGAGAGAAAGCTCCTTCTGGTTTACACAGCACCAAAGAAAGTGTGCTGGGAATCTGCCTGTACATCTCAGTCCCAATCTGTAGTGCTTGGAAGTATTAAATGGAAGTAAAATGGAAGTCTCTCTTTGAGCTACTCAGCCCAGTTTTCCTCTATGGTCAAGACAGAAGGCTTTTCCAGAGGGTAATTAGTCTCATCTTAGCCTAAGCACGTAAAATGACTCATGAGCTGAAGGCATTCCAGACTACAAGAAGGACACACGATGCCTTAAAAGGCAGAATACTCAAAAACAGGGCAAAAAAAAATATCTGAAGAATAACTGTTTGTGCAGGAACCAGTTTTGACCAAAGGCAAAATAAAGAGCAAACTGAAACTCTCATCAGGTTTCATTTTTGTCATCCTTTACTGAACTGTTGTCTCCCAAACATCATTTTGTTGACTCATGAGAATGGAAAAATGCCCATCTGATTTCCAGGCAGGTCAAATCCTAGAAACGATCTCAGGGCTGCCCACAGGTTTTGGGGATAAGCTACCTTTAATACACCACATTTAAGTCTGTGTCTTTAATTATTAGCAACGGATGCCTTAAATCAGTGCTCCACTATTTGTAAGATGGATTCATGCTCACAGCAAGGTCTCAGTG